TGACCTTCCTAGTAGAGAAACTAATTTCACAAAGTTATGTTGACAGGAGTTGAAGACGAGATTTTAGATCAATGTGGGAAACTTCTAATATTCATGTTTAACTTTCATATAAAATAAGGTAAGTGATACTATTGAGTTAGCCAAAAAATCTGTTTAGTGTTGTCCATAAAATAAAAGATACATTTTTCATTTTCATTAATAACTTTATTTGGATATTTTGAGCATGTCAGTTCTCTTCTGCATGATATAATGTTGATTGTTCTTAATTAACATCTCAACTTTATTGCTATCAACTTCAACTGATATCCTACAGTAGGGCATTATCCAGGGAGAAATTGCTAGCACAAAATCTCGCAAATCACTTTTGACATGCTTGAACAGTCACAACAACTTCTTCATAACACTGCACAAAACCTTTTTTTTTTGCATTTCAATTGTGTTTTTACTTGTCTTAAAGTAGTAAAGCATAATATGCTGCAAATGTTGCTTATTTTCTTCCATCTTCAATATTAAAATGGCTGCATAAAAATTCATCAATTTTGATAAGCTTTTTTTAATGCATGCTGATATGAAAGTTGTCACAATAAAATCTAACAAAATTGTGTTGAATGATGTTAGAGACAATGGCTAATAGAGCCAATGTAGGAAAAAAAAAAACTAAATGAACATTTTGGCCAACCCAATATAAATGCCACTTGAATTTTGAAGGCTTTTTTGTTTCATTAACCAGATCACCACTAGAACAGTGTGGTTTTCACACTTCACTAACAATTATGTCTGCAAAATGGTACTTAATAATGTAGATTCATATGTCTGAGTAAAACTAGCTTTATTTAGGGAGACAGCATTTTCATTATTAACATTTAATCTACTGAAATCACTATATTCAACAAAGATATGACCAAAAAATGCTGAGTAAACTTATTTAATAATATGTAAGTTAAAATTGAAAAGAATAATAAATTAACTTTCCCAATTTAGCTAATAATGTTAAATTATAAAATAAAAATAAAATTTAAATTTAAAACTTCTGCTTTTCAAAAGACACCATGAAGGAAATGAAAAAATAACAAGACATGTCTGACAAAGGACTTGACCCTGAACATGGGCAACCTAATGTTTACTAGTCCACTTGCATTTGATGATGAGGCATTAAAATTATTTATTGCTTCACCAATGCTTTCCAAAATTTATATATAATTTGTACATAATGTCCTAGAAATAAAAAATTTCTATTTTCTATTTTTTTGTTTCAATCTTAGTTTGATAGTCATCTTGGAGGTAATTTCAGGAAAATATATATATCTATATAGATTCTTTATCAGACGCCAAAATTTTAAATCTAATGGAAAATATAATATGCATAGCTCACTCAATCATTCTGAAATTTAAATATGTCTCTTGAAAATTGATTTTTGGTGCCAAAATAATTTTATTTTAATCATATATTTAAATTGATTTTAGATAGGATTGCCCAAGCAACATTAATGGTGACCTTAATTTCTTTTTTTTTCTATTTTCACATACTTTCAAAATCAGTAGACACACTTGAAATAATGAATTCAGAAGTATTAGCAGGAATTTATTTTACTTCTTGGCAAGGTATCAGAAATCACAATATTATGTATATGAATAATGTTTAACTTAGTTATGTCTTTATAATTACTAGGTCAAATCTTTTTAGCAATAATAATAAAAGATCATTTTCAAGAATTCACTAGGTAAAACCAATAAGAGTAAGTCAGATACATGGTATTGTTTCCTCTTCCTTGCTTTACCTTATGGTCACTGGAGGAAGATTAAACTATCAGAACCAGTTAATCTAATTACATAGTTGAGGGTTTTTTTAGTTATTTTTATTTTTTATTTTTTAATTTTATGTCAGGTGTAAAGAAAGTGGGGAAAAAATAAAGGTTAACCATAAAATGAAGACTTGACACCTGGAATGAAAACAGTATATACCGAAATGAGTTATGGGTCCAAGTGGTACTTGGGACTGAGCAATGGGACATGAAGCAAAAGTATAACTCACTGCTATCAGCAGGAAGAGTTGAGGGATACTAGTCCAAATTGGCGGGTAAAATTTCAACTTCTGGGTAGGGTTCCCAGGTTAGGTACATGGAGGATGTCAGGAGTACACCTAGACAGTTATAAAAGTAAATATAGAGCTGCTTATATAAATAGGAATTTTTAAGTTTTTAACTAAAAACTGGAAAATAAGGGGAGAGGTTGCAAACAGAAAATCCTAAACTAATATAATAAAGAAACTTGCAGGCAAACGCATACCCAAAATGACTTACTATAATTCCTAAATAATTACAATACCAAGGAATTTGTATAATGGGATGATAGAAGAATGGATATAGTGCATAATCTGAATCCTGTTATTATCTATAAGTTTAAAATGGTATATATATCTGAGTAAAGTTTCCTTTTTATTTAGTGTTTAAACTAGGCATAAATGACCTGCCTGTGTTACTGAAACACTGATTTTTTGAATTTTCTAAACAGACTGCTAGACTCTGTAAATCAGTGGTCCAAAATACTAAGATGAGTGTTTACTAACATGGTCAATGTCTTCTTCATCAAAATATATGTTGATGTTCTTTTTTGCTAAAACTTTCAAAGCCAAGTTTATATTCAGCACAATCAAGTCACTCACTTAATATTCCACTCATCAACTTATCAGTTTCAATTGAATATGTTACTGTGGTAAATGGTCTGAAACTGAGCTGCAATATTATATGATATTATATGCTGCCTTAATGTCTTAACTTCAAGCTCTGCTCTCCAGTCTGCTCCTGCAGATAAAGTTCTCTAGGCAAGCAACCTTCCTTATCAAATGGACCAAAGGTAGTTCCTGCTTCTAGCTAAGTAGCAGTTTTCAGTATTCTGTTAGCCCATGCTTTATTCAAATACGCCAATTATGTACTCTGTGGGAAATAGGGGCACCTCACCCTCTTAGTATACAAAGCCCTCCTACCTCAACTCCAGGTTATTCACTCTGTTCCCCAGTACCACCCCCTGCAGCCTTGCACAGCATGCAGAGTCCTTGTCGCCAGGCTGTGATTATGATTAGATGATTAATACACTGTGTTGATCCCATCTGTCCAGGGTTGGCTGTCATGCTTTGGCCATCCCCATAATTCTATGGTAGGAATCCCTTCCACACCAATGGGATGAAAGGGTGGTGATTAAAATGGTGACGAAAAGTGGCTCAAACAATTAGTATTTGAAGAGTTAATCATTTTACATAACACGAAGAGAGAAATAATCTTTTCATGACTGTTTCAATATGTGAGCACAATGAATATGGACCTAAGCTCTTTCAAGCATTTCAAGCCTGAAAACTATGAGTTAGGATTAATTTTCCTCATTTTATAAACTAGAAGGTTTAAGCACAGAGAAGGTAAGTAACACTTTCAACATTCAAACACTAGTAAATTAAAACCATTATTCAAACTCAGGCCATTAGTGTTTTCAATGTTTAAATGGTTCTGTACAATTAGAAGAGGACCAATAGAATCCCTGATATTATTATCCAGAAACTCATCTATTGGAAGGTCAAATGTACCTTGATCTAGCTTGTTAAATTTGTAAATTTAAAATTCTGGAGTAAAAAATTATTTTATCCTAACAAGAATAAAAGTCTTCTTAATGTAGATTCCCAAGAAATATACCATATACCAGAAATGACAAATATTTCTCTTCCAGTCATGCTGTTCCTTCTCCCACATTTCCTTCTCAAGGACCCCTAGTTGACTTTTTTTTTTTAAACCTCCCTCCCAAGTCTGAATATCCTGGTCAACCACGCTGACTGGAGGGTGTCCCTGGAATTTGAAACTAAAACTTAATGTTTCTTCTAGTGAGTCTCTATAAAGTCTATGAAGTAGGGTTCACAGTCATGTAGAAGGAAGACTGGTTCAGTTCCAGAAAAAAGCATTCAGCTGAAACAAAAGAATAAAAAACAGATAAATAAGAGAAACAGAAAAATTAATCTTATGTTAGATGAAGAGAATATGGAGAGCAGAGATAGTGAAGCACAGTGAGAAGGTTTAGAGTGGGAAAAGAGCAATACTCTTGGTTCCTCATGACTTGCTGGTTCCTGGAGTCAGCCTTTCCAAAAAAGCCTCTACGGCAATTTACAACATTGGGTTTTATGTCAGATCACTCCAATGAATCCCGTTTTAGACAATAAACTAATTTGTTTTATCCTCTTTCTTGGAGTTGGAGGAGCCCCACAAGAGAAGAGAAATATAGTACAAACTGAATTCAAATACGCAAAAGTCAAAAGATGAGTGAGTTTTGTAATTCTGAAAATATTAATTTTACTTATACTTAGAAAAATGCATACTGTATTTTAACAGAGATTATACTAGATATATCCAGCTTAGTGCACTTATTTTATATTTCCCAATCGATATGGGAAAACATCTATGTAGATCCAATTTCACATGTAATCTGGTAATATAACACCTTAATGCAAAGTCTAAGATAATTACAAAAAGCAATTTCTACAATAATTGGAAAATGTTCATACATATTTATTACTGTAAGTTTTTCAAAGATTATTCTTTTCATATTTCTCTACTCCTTAGAAAGTATGAAATGTGTAACAGTGATATAAACACTCCCTTAGCACTTTATATTTGTATGCTTTAACACTTCAGTTTTAATCTTTTCCAGAGAAGCAATCAATTGACACATAAAATATCCAATATATTTTACACATTGAAAAGTTGGCATATTTGGCACTCAATTGTGTTATATTTTCACAAGCATTCAGATTTTTAAGGACATGACTGACAAATGATATTTTCGGGAAGCAGTCAACTCATATGAATTCTGTTAGTTTAATATAAAATAAGTTGGTTTGAGCATACTTGGGTTTGTAGAATATTTACGGGTTCATTTCAAGAAACCAACAGTTATTTAATCCTTTCGTTTCTGACATATAGAGTGAAAAGTGGTAAAGATGATATTAAAAATGGAGACCTAATGTGCTTGCTTCAGCAGCACATATACTAAAATTGGAATGATACAGAGAAGATTAACATGGCTCCTGCCCAAAGATGATTGCAAATTCCTAAAAAATAGAGACATAAGATCAGGTAATCATATTATATATAAACTCCTTACTTTCTCTTCTAAAGACAGCAGACCTCAAGAAATATAATAACAATTCTGTTTTGAGTTGAAATAAATTATGAATCAAGTTTATATGATAATGCAATACTGAATAAAGAGCATTTATTCAAATTGGATGATGAAGGACATCCCCGCTGATGAAAACTGCCTGTCCCTCCAACATCATCATCTGCTGCTCTCAGTCTTTAACTTCACATTCTGCTGCACAAAGTGGCTCAGAGCTCTGTCTGCACAGAGCATGTTGTGTTTAGGCCTGTACCTGTGAGCAGATGGCCTTATTTCTCAGGGCACTCATCCAGAAGGCTTTCTTTATTTAGTACGTCTCCTATCCCCTCCACAACATCTTAGGTAGCATACTTTTTCTCTGTTCTCCCATAATTCTCCTTACCTAGCTTTGTCACATTGGATAATATAGTATAATAATCTTTTTATTTGAGTGTTTCAACTGAATGTCTGGTAAGTCTTTGAAGATATCTGCTGTTTTCTGCCCAATCTCATAATCCCCTACAAGTCCCTAGACTTCTATTGCTCCCTGTTGTGGTACCACAGAAAAACTGCATCCTCACTTCTGTGCTACATTTCTGGTTTAGGTAACAGCCTTCACGACCCCAAAATCTGCTCCCAGCTGGAGAAGATAAAAGAATGGCTTCTCTCCTGCTGCCTTCACTTAATAGATTTTATGGACTACTCATAGGCACTAATTTTAGTCTTTGGGTTATAAGCCAAAACTAACACACACACACACACACACACACAAACACACATTCTTATTTGCTCAAATTGTTCCTGCTTAAGGCAATGGCAGCTCTTTCAGGTTGGCTCCTATGTCCTTTTAACATGACACTGTTTGTTTGCTTGTTTGTTTGTTTTATGCTTACATATTTTCATAGTACAACATACTCCCAAGTTTACTTCATATCTCCCCTACCACAGTTTTAAAATTAAGACTAGTTTCCTATTTTGAAGGATAATATTAAAAACCAATATCTGGGTATTAGGTGTGATCATAGCTATTGGGGTGTCATAATTGGAAGTTCATTTAAACAATAAATGGAATATATATATAAAAATATAAATTCATGTATGAGATATATGGTAATTTATGTTTCATGTATATGTTTCCAAGTTGTGTGTGTGTGTGTGTATATATATATATGCTTCATGTATATGTTCCAAGTTTTATATAATATTATATATATATAATATATGCAGAGGGTGTGTATATATATAGATATATAGTCTCCTTGTATTGGATATAAAGTCTCCTTAAAAATTTAGTCTCCTTGTATTATTATAACTTTCTAAATAAAGTTCTTTAACATATATAATCATATAATTATCTCTGCTTCTTGAAAATTGCCAATCTAGAGTAACCCTGTAATTCTTTGATTCTTTCTTAAAATCACCTTAAATAAGACCTAATTCTAAAATTAGCTACTTTAAGCCCCTTCTTATTGAGACACTTCATGTTTTTTTTAAAGAGGACCATCTCCTTGCTGCTGAAAGCATCAAGAAACCTACCTTCATCTATATCTTTGTTTCCAGTGTCATTTGATAGTTAGGCATCAACAAATGCAACACAGAGATATGGTAAAAATTAATCAGGGTAATACAAAGAAAAATTTAGCCTTGACATTACTATATGATAAACACTCAAACTTTAATATAACTGACTTTCTGGTAGAAGCAGTTTATTCGAGGGAATCAACAGTATTCTACTTATCTTTTTGTACCTGCCATAAAATAATGTGCTTGGAGAATTATAAATGTTCAATGAGTATTTGTTGAATGAATAGATCAAATGTTAATATTTAAACATTACCACTTTAAAGATTTAGAAATTATAAAAAATATGGAACATAGAATCATGAAATGAGACAGCATTTAATCTTTAGAATGACTATGAAGGAAGGCCATTTAGATGCTTTTACCAATAGTACTCCAAGAACACACAATTGAAGAGATGCTGTCCATTTCTTATGCGGCGACATATTGAAAGATTATTTGCTACAGCATTATACTATAGGGTCCCTGAAGAATTCTAATTCATCCTCCCACATCAACTTCTTATTCCATATTAGGCTACTAGTCTCTCCCAAGATTCATGACTATAAGATCGGTCTCCTTTGGGGTCCTAAATGATTTTATTCCAATGAAAGTTACAACACAAATTTTGGCTAACTTACTCCTGATCCAACATCATTTTCTCAAGATTCCAGACTATCATTAAATTTGTTAGATTTAACAACTTTTGGCCGCTGAGATAGCATTTGGTACACTAGAGCAGACTTTCTCTATTAAACTAATGATGCACTAAATGGCACACTGATGACCTGAAAGAATAAATGTGTCTCCTTGAGAACAGGACTCCTAACTAGGGAGAAACTTGGACATTAGGGGAAAAGATGGCTCATTAATGCTCAACCATCAAGTACATAATCAATAAACTGAAAATCCAGAATGTGTTTTTAGGTAGTGAGGTATTAATATATTATTGATATTCTTTTTAAACATTGATAAGGCACATCTTGCCAGATAATTAAAACACTGCTTCTACTAAGTAAATACAAAAGAAAGAAGAAATTTTCCATGTATTCTTGTCAATTGATTAGCTTGTAGATTGATTTACTAGGATTATATTTAATTAAAGGCCTATTTGATATTAATGGGAAGTTTAGTGTGTAAATACTGATCTGCTTTTACAATTCTTTTCAGTTCAAAATCTCTCTGTATAAAAATAAGGTCAGTTTCTGTGGCTTAGAAAATTTACATTGATATACCTATATTTAAAATTTGTAGTTAAATTGAATAAAACTATAATAAATGTTTCCTGTCAACATTAGAGATTTTGTTTTAATTTCTCAATTAAGGAGGGAGACTGACTAACAGGGTTTTAATACCAATCATTGACTAAACTATTTATTTATTTAATTTTTCATTGTTAATTATTACCTCACAGAAATTTGCCAAAATAGGATAAAGATCATTTGAACCCTTCATGCAGATCCCTCCACTGGTGACATATCACTGTAGTATAATATCAAAACCAGGAAATTGATATTCTTATACCATTAACTAGACCACAAACATTATTTAATTCCACCATTTTTTTAAACTTGCATACATTTGTTCGTGTCTATGTGTATCCACTTCTATGTCATATGCAATTTTGTGTGACCACATCCACAATCAATTTCTTTTGAGAAGTACAGAGAGATTTAGCTCAATATTAAAATGAATTATCATGCTCAGACTATATCTAAAGCAATGAGTAGTGTGAAAAATTAGTAAAAAGTGATCTTGTAACATAGCACTAAGAACTAGGTTATATGATTAATATATTCAATATATCACAGGAAGAATATGTTTGAAAAAATATATCTGACCCCTTAAAATATGAAAAAACCTAAAAATCCATAACAAAATAAAATTTGCTATAAACATCAGAAATGGTTTCTATAATGATATATCACATTTGTTTAAAGTATAAAGTTGTCAGTGACAAATAATTTTGTAATTTTTAATAAACTTTATTTTTAGAGAAGTTTTAGCTTCACAGAAAAACTGAGCAGGAGGTAAGAGATGTTCCATACACTCCCTGATCCCACGTGTGCATAGCCTCTTCCATTGTTGACGACTCCCACCAGCACGGTACGTTTGTTACCATGGTTGCACCTACACTGACACATCGTTAACACACAGGGTCCATTGCTTCCATTAGATTTTTTTTTTTTTTTTGGTATTATTGTACATTTGGTATGGGTTTAGACAAATGTATAATGATATCTATCCACCATTATAATGTTATACCAAATAGTTTCTCTGTTCTAAAAATACTCTGCTCTCCACCTATTCATCTCCCTCCCACCAAACCCCAGCCCTGGCAACCACTGATCTTATTCTCTCCACAGTTTCGTTTTTCAAGAAAATCTAGATGAACTAGTGTTTGGCCATGACTTTTAGATGAAACACCAAAGTCACAACCCATAAAATAAATAGTTGATAAACAGGACTTCTTTAAAATTAAAATTTCTGCTCTGCAAAAAACACTGTCAAGAGAATAAGACAAACAGACTGAGAGAAAGTATTTTCAAAAGGCACAACTGATGGAGGACTATTATGCAATATATACAGACTCATTATGTATATACGTAATAAAATATTTTTGTGGGAAAATCATTATATTTTAGTAATTACTTTGGCACTTTTTTACCTGCTTTGGGAACAAAAAGCCTTGCATTTTTATTTTATGCTTGACACAGCAGTATACATAACCTGTCCTGCCAATATTTTACAATCTATTACTACCATTATTTATTTTGATGATCAAATTTTTCAAAGTATAGTAAGAGTCCCTCCAAGTAACCTTCTGTATCCCTTGACATATAGGTGAAGAAGGGCCTGGCCCCAGGGCCACCTGGCTTCAGGGCTGCCTCACCACCATGCTGTTTTCTCGGTCATGTTGTATTACCATTGAGCTGTTTGAACTAGAGTGTCCTTCTTCACCACACCCCACACTGGGGGTTCCTGTTGGCATCTGAACTGGCAGCAACAATCATTGATTGACAACACAGAGACACAAAATAGGTTAGTGGTAGCCTAGGACTGGTCATGACGAGAGAACAGGAATGGGGTGACTGCTAATGTGTAGGGGATTCCTTTTGGGGATGATGAAAATATTCTAATATTAGGTAGTGGTGATGGTTGGACAACTCTGTGAACATGCCATAAACTGACTGAATTGTACACTTTAAAATGGCAAGTGTATGGTTTCTGCATTATTTTAATAAAATTAGAAATTTACTTGGCACTTGGTAAGATTGCTCAACAGTATAACAAAGGGTCTACTTAGCTCTATTTCTCCACCAGAGCTCTGCCCTCCTGGTGCTCATGCTCTCCTCACCCACTGTGGCCCTGACATCCTTCTCTGCCTCACTATAAATCTTGTGTGTACACTCTA